TCTTTTGCCCTCTTTTTCCCTACATCCAGATCCTATTCAACCTCCAGGCCCACCCCAAATACCTACCTTAGGCCTTCCCTGATCCTATCCTCTCTTAATATATGTCTCTGATCTGTAAAAAAATGATGAGAATTACACTATCGTACCTAGTTCATAGCGTTACAGAATATTAAATGAGATAAATGTTAACTATTTTACTATACATACCTCTCTTTTAACATTCATAACTTTCTCTATTGCCTTATAGTTATTTGCCTGTCTTTCATCTTCTGTCTAAATTCTAACTTCATTAAGTTTTGGGGCTATGTATAATTTATCTTTGAACATTCCCCAGCGCTTATATATACATAGATTGTTTTATATTACACCTATATATTTATTTATATTTTTTACACTACATGCATCATACATATAGATTTTCCTACATTTATATATTCACATATATTTATATTTATGTTTATACTATACTGTTCATTTATATTCAAAAAGATGGTAAAAATAAAATATGTAATTATATACTTATATATTTGTATCCTATATTTGTCATTTATTGCCTGAATAAATATAGTATAATTCAGGTATGGCCATACAATCATGAATCCTACACTCTGTGTCTTGGGGAACCAGTTTAATTACAGTTGCATGTTTTCTAGTCTATTCCTCCTAATCTATTCCTTTCTCTATCAGGAGAAAGCTGCATAAAAACTCTATTCCAGTGTTCTGCGTGGGGCACATTATTCTTGCCTTTATCTTGGCGTACTCATGAACAGTGAGAAATCCTAGCGAAAAGTCACAAAACAAATCGTCATTTCAGTACTAAGACCAGGCACTTCTTTTGTCAGTCCGAATAGAGGGAGTGCCAAATGCATTGTGGGTTGTCATGGTGGAGGTTGCTTCTCAGCCAGCTCCTTGCTCACCCTAAGCTGCCTTCACACTATATACATTTCACTCATGTATGTTCAGGCTCTCTAATCAGACCGTCATTAGGACAGAAAATAGGGCTTCGGTTTCATTAGTGTCCAAATGATCTGACCTACTAAAAGGCTGTTATGTCAGAGAAAGAAGCCAGATCCAAGAGTATATGTGCTGAATTATTCCAATTACATAAGGTATTTTAAAAACAGGCAAAATTAATATATGCGTTAGAAGTCAAGGCAGTGGTTACTCTGGGGGAATGCAGTGCCTGGGAGGAAATAATAAAGACATTTCTGGGTGTTGGTAATGTTTTATTTCTTGATCCAGATGCTAGTTATATAGTTGTGTTCAGCCTGTGAAAATTCATCAAGCTTAAGATATGTTGCACCCTTTTGTATTGATATTTTACTTTACCTCAATATAAATATTTGGGTTTCATGTCAACTGTCTGAAGTAAATGGGAAAGTAGGAAAACTTAGAATTTGGGCATCTTTTAATCAAACTTCATGTTAGTTTCATTTTAAAGATTTTGTTACATGTCTCATCCTCCGGGAATAAGGCACGTCTTTATTGCACAGATTTCCTGTGTGCCACTTATTTTATTTTATTTTACTTTATTTTCAGTCCTGATTGAGTCTATGAGCCAACCAAACTTAATAAAAAGTTAGAGTTAAATCCTGTACTTCCACCGTCTTTCTACTATGCTCTACAGAATATAATTACAGAAACACAGAAAATGACTTCGCCAGGGAAGAGAATGTTCATGGGAGGCCACTTCCTGAATTATCTCCTTCAAGAAGTACTTCTTCTATATTATGAAATAATTACAAATTAACATTCCAACTCCAAAGATCAATAACTACAATATGAGAGGGACAACAGTAGAAAGTATGTCCTCATGTTTAATTTACTAGCAGGAAAGAATACTCAGAGGAAAAAAAAAAGAATGAGAACACTGAGGTCTATTTGAAAATGATGGAAAGACCACTTTCTGCCATATAAGTGAAGGCAGGGCTGGTACAAAACATTAATTTGCTATTATTTAACGTCCCCACCCTGATTATGTTGGCTCAATAGGAATGTCACCCACTAGGTGGACCCTGGAGTTCATCCAAAAAAGAAGTTGCTTTTCCTATCTGAAATAATCATCACTTCCTCCCAAGCAAACCAACTGACCCCAGGTTTCAATCTCTGACAAACCGATTCCTATTAAGGAACTTGAATGGAATCAAGGGTCAGAGAAAAGATGCGCTCTCAAAACTGGCCTAAGGTGAACCAAAGAGAGAGGGAGTTATAGCAGCAATTAGATTTAACTACTCATACTCAAGGGCTGCTGAGCCCTCTGAGCAACAAAGGAAAGCAATTCAACTACCAATAAGGAAAGGCATTTCAAAAATAACTAGAAAAGAAATGCCTACTACTCTTCCTTTCAAAGGTAGTGTTAGGGGCTTTTAGGGCTACTCTAGCTGAAGAAAACAACTGGTGAAAACATGTAACTACTGCAATGTATTTAAAGGCGATCCTTAAACTTCAGCGTGTTCCCAATTACAAAAATAGCATACAATTTTACACACTCCTGTCTCTAAATGGCTTCAAACTTTTCCCCAACAACCTTCATTGCAACCTTTTTCTGCAAACCTTTGCAGGTTGCACCTGTTTCACCCATCACCACTGGAAGCAAATTTGGTGAAGGGAGAAGAGAAAGAATGGGGAGATTTAAACTAACACAAATCAATTTTATACCAAAAAAAAAAAAAGTTTCTCAGTTTAGTGTAAAAAGGGAGGCCTGGTGGGGAACACTGTAGAGGGGGAACAGGCAGCGAGGGAGAAACAGACATCTGGAGAACTCCTAAGGCAGAAATCCTGACTCATCAAGGCTTTCAGAAGGAACAGAAGGAGACCGCATTTGTCTTGAGTTCACCTTCTTCAGGCCAATAAATGCTCTCCGAATTGAGACTCGGAAACTTGAGTGTTTGTCCTGTGTTTGTGACAACTGACTGTGAGGCCTTGGGTATAACCCTTGAGAGTCTAGTTCTCGGTTTCCTCATCCACAGGTGATCGCCAAGGAAGGCCCTGTCTAGCTTTCACAGTCTATATTTGAGACTTCCAGTTCTCATAACCCAAACGGAATTGGCCCACTGGGGGGAGCTGCAGAACATCCCTCTTCTCAAACTCCAGGACCCGCGGGCCCAAACTTTGGGAGATGCTGATGTCCTGGAAGTAGGTAGGGAGAGCGTGCAAAGCCCTCCTCTCTATAAAAAGGGGGACACAATTGCAGAGTCCAGTCCTGCGATTCCGGAAGTACCCTCCACCCTCTATCCCCCTGCCCCGGGTTTAGAAGCTCCAGGGATGAGGGCTGAGCTGATGCCTGCCGGGGAAGCTTATCAGGGGGTGAGGAATACAGAGCAGAGGGCCGCGGGCCTCTCTGCCAGGGGAAGGGCTGTCGATCGGGAGAGGTGCTGAGGACCCGCAGGGGAGGGAGAGGCGCATGGGACAGGGCAGGAGGAGGGAAACCCTTATCAGTTCCTGATCGTCCTAGCTTGGCCTGCAGGGGTCAGAGACCCGCGCCCCCTAGGCTCTCTGGCACGGAGCGAGGGGCGTGTCCGGGGACGCGCTGCTAAGACCCCGTCAACTCCCCGGTCGCCTGGGCCCCTAACCCTCAGCGCCGTCTGCATACAAGCTCAGGAAGACAAAACAAACTAGTGCCGGCTTCCTGTTGTGCAACCCAGTCCTGAGTAAGTCGGGGCCGAAAGGGCGCCACCGCCGGGAAGCCCAGGCAGCGGGGACCAGCGGGCTGCCAGACACTGCCAGAGCCCGAATCTCGAGGGAGTCGGGGCCCAGCTCACCGCTCCCAGGAGCGCATGACCACCGCGCCGCACCGACCGTGCGGGCCTGGAGCCCTCACTGAGCTAGTGTCCTAACCCTCAGGTATCCTTTCACTTCTTGCCTCCCAAATATCCCCCCAAACAAGTCGAGGGCACGACCCATGAAGCCAGAAACGACCTCTCCCAAAGTTTCTCCCAACAGGTACCTAATTGAATCATCCATAGGATGACAAATCCGTCAGGGCCAAGTTTTCCAGACACTTGGGTGACTTCCTCATCCCTGAGGTGACTTGTCAGCTCCAGTGAGTAACTTGGAAGTATCGCTCCGGGCAAGGTGTGTGTGTGTCTAGGAGGGAACCGGGCTGCTCACTCACGCTTTCCGGAAGGCTGCCCGGCAGACTTCAAAATACACACGGGGTCATTTATAGGGACTGGAGACATGAGCAGGACGAAGTCCCTGAAACTGAGACATTTCCCAAACAGTGCTGACATTCTGTCGGGCCGCATACAAATGTAAACTCTAGGTGACGAACTCGGTGGGGAGGATGAGCATCTGAATGTGTCTGCGCATTTTGCGGCGTGGGAGGTAATAGTTATAGACCTGGAGGCTGTGGGTCACGGACTCATCCCTGCGACACGTTCAAGTACCCCCGACCCAAGGATCACCCGGAGCAATGGGGACATCGGCTGCAGAGAGCCACAAGCATAGGAGACAGCCTTCCTGGAGCTCCACAAACACGTGGAACTGGAAGACAACTACAGCCCCGTGTGCGCGCGAGAGACCTCACGTCACCCCATCAATTCCCACTTCGAAGAGTCCCTTCAGTGAGGACTCATGGGTGTCGTGCACGACCATGCCCGTGCGTCCTGTGACTTGCCCTGATCTTGTAGCCCTCTGCCCCACGTAGTTCAAAAGAAAAACCAAAAACAAAACCTCTTCCTAATTAAAGAAACTTTAAAACCTTGTTGATTTCCTTCCCCTCCTCCTCTACACAGGTTGCTCTCAGGCAACTGACAAGAACACAGCTTGGTTCCTAATTGAGGGTCGCTATCGACCTCAGTCAATAAACATCTTTTAGAGAATCTGGGGGTGGGGGTGCGGGGGTCCCTAAACCCGCGGGAACGCCACCGGCTCCGCGTGGAAAACTATTTCTAATCCCTAGTTTGTGTCTCTGAGTGTTAACTACCCCCCACACTCTCAAGCACCCTGTTTCTTCCCGTCTCTCGCATGCGAGCAAAGTTCCTATGGCATCCACTTACCAGGTAACCGGGATTTCCACAACAAAGCCGGCGTGCGGGTCCCTTCCCCCGGCCAGCCTGGGCGAGTGACAGCGGGCGGCCAGCGCTGGCGAGCAGAAGCTGGGGGCTCCAGCCCTTCAGCGCGCTCCACGGGTTCTGCCTCCTTCGGAAATGAAAACTCCCATCCAAGCCCGGGGACGGAGCGCGGAAACCCGGCCCAAGTGCCGTGTGTGCGCGCGCGTGTACGAGGGCAGCAGCGGCAGGGGGAGGCGGAGGCAGAAGGGGGTTGGCTGGACCCTCGGCATCAGCTCATTCTCTCGCCCCCCCACCCCACCCCCCACACACAAACACATGCAAATAATGTTTTAAAAAGTTGAGTTTCGACTTTGTGCCTCGCTTGTCCTGCTCATCCTCCCCCTAGGCCGAGGGATGTGTCTGTGGGGGCAGCCCGGGAGGCTGGCTAATTGCTTTCGGCGGGTTCCGTCGGTGAAGCGCTGGTGCGAGCCTGGACGGCTTAGGCGGCGCGGGGAGGGGCTGCGCTGGTGCCCGTGCGCGCCTCGCTCTGGGCTGCCCGGGCAGCGCTGTGTGGACGCGGCCGCAGGGAGAGGGGAAGGAGGGAGGGTGGGAGGAGGCCGAGCGAGGAGTGTGGATGTTAGTGTGGCTGTGAGGGCCGGCCTGCAGCCAGCTGCTTCCTGAGTGTGAGCGCCGGAGGGGGCGGGGGAGGGGGTGGGGGCGGGCTCGCTGGTCACTAGGCTGGCCAATTCGAAGGCCGAACTTGTGTCTCCCTCTCGACGTGCACTCCTAACCGTGCGCCAAGGAGTCGAGGAACTCCAGAACCGGGTAACAGCAGGGAGACACTTTGCCTTTTTCTTGGGCCTTATTTGTTAAACTGACTTTTTTCTTTAACATGAAAAAGCCTCAGCGTTTAGACAGGATTTGATATCAAATCTTAGAGAACAAGACCAAAACAACAACAACAACAAAAAGAAAGAAAACCAGTAGTAAGACGGAAAGAGTAAAAACTAAGAGGCGAAAAATGGCAAAAGAAAAATGGTCTTTCTAATATACAGGACTGGATGCACGTAACTTTGAAAATGGATAGGTGACGCACAGAGGATGCCTCTGGCGTCTTTTTAAAGTAAAGTATAGACAAAGGAGAGAGGAAGGTAAAGGAAGTGTTACAAGGGTGTAAAATTCTAAACACAGGCTGCTAGGAATGGAGGCACATTCCCTGCATATGTTGCATCTATTAGGGCACTTGCTCCGAAAGAATTCAATCCCCTTAGCTTCACACCCCACCGAAGCTGTGACCCCAGCCCCTCTGCTTGGTTTGATCAGAGCCCTGAAGAGATTGGCCAACTGTGAGAGGCTCCCCACATGTATTGCCACAGATGCACAGACTTCCATTTGGGGAATCAATGTATGTAAAGCACATGATATCCTCCTTAGGCCTTTCTGCAATAAGAGTATTATTCACTCTTGTGAATGAAATGAATCAGGATATCTCAAGACAAAGACAGAATTTCACCAGTCCTTATCTTCTACTCTAGGGCTCTTGGTACAATAAAAATTAGCATTCAGTAGTAGGTGCTATGATCAAAATAGAAGCCCTCAAGTACACAAATGACTCACCCCAGAAAACCAACCAAAAACTGTTGACAATTTTCACTTATCTTATTTGGGAAAGAATATTACTAGAGTTGGTCTACATCCATGATACTGACCCCTCAAAAGAGGCCAATTTTCACAGTACTTTTACATCTTGTTATGATCTGTTTTTCAAGACTCCCTTTAGGGAAAGTATTATTTTCCCTTTCTTAAAGACATAAACTCATCAGAATATTAATCGCCAGAATATCTGTCAGCAGAAGTGGAGGGAGAGAAATAATAAGTGTGGACAATAATATCATTCTGTCAATTTTCCAGTTTCTCCTTCTGTTCTTCGTCTCCTTTTAAATGCAATTATCCAAGCCCAAGATGGCAATCAATGGGTTCAACCACACACAAGAAAAGAAAATACTCATAAAATGAAGCATGCAGCAACATCACAAAAACAAAGAAACTAAGTGGTAGAAGTTGCCATGACTATTCCATTGTGGCTAGTTATTGCAACATGCCTGACATTCCCATAAAAACTCTTCCTCATTAAGTCCAGCCTTCAGGAGCAGAGCAAGATGCAAACACTGACCCTTCAGTACATCATGGGATATTCTCCTCATCCACACTCTTGTGCTGTATGGACTGCTTACCAGGAACAAGAAGGCTGGGTGAAGGCTGCAAAAAACCTTTCCAACGTCCCTCAAATATCACTTTAAATAGAATGGCTTTCAGGCATTAAATGATATCTTAGGGGCTTGCAGAAGCTTCCAAAACTTCCCACTTGATGGGAACAGTTTAGCTGGAAGAGAAAAATACAGTGCTACTCCCTACTTTAATCAATGGCTCATGGAAATAAAACACTAAAAAAGTTATTAGTCATCAACTGGAGATCCCCAAAAGTCTCTTCACTTACAAAAGCCCAAGGGTGGGAATGTCATTTTTCACATAGGTAAGATTTTCATGATCATCTAACATTCCTAAGATATTTACCACTACATAGGTACAATGCTTTGGTTGACTTTTTTTTTTTTTTTTTTTGCCAGGAACGTAGATCTGCAATGCCCTTACATTCCATGGGATATAGTAAAAATGCAGCGCTCCCAATACAACCCTGGAATGACTCAGTATGAGATCTGCACCAATTCTGGGCTGAATTGGTCAACACGAGTGGGGCAAGGGAGAGTAATTAGAGATGGTGGGAAAGGAAATAGTGTAGTTCAGCAATCCCTTCCCCATGAGCTCTCCATCGTGCTTAGGACTCATGTCCTGGCAGCCTTTCAGACAGATAGGTGGGAACTGCAACCCTTTCGTATCTTCCCTCTCTGGAGTCATTAGTTGTATGCATCTCAACTGCTGACTCAGAGTGGCTGACTCAGCAGACAGGGCCCTGTTGCCAGCTCAAGTCCAGTTCTCATTCATTTGAGAAATATTCAGTGAGTATCTACCCTGTCTCAGGCTTGGGGGTAAAGGAATTCACATTCGTAGGCATTGTACATGGGAGGATGTTACATAAAGAATTCTGCCCAGTTCCTGGGATATAGCAAACCCTCATCTGCCCCTCAAAGCAATCGTATGAGATGGCTACTGGGAGTCTCCAATTTAGAAGCAAGAAAGCTGAAGCTCAATAAACAGTTAACGAGAGTGACAGGCAGAGCTGGATTTGCCAGTCTAGAAGCCCCAATTTCTTTCAACATTGCTATCCTACAAAATAACGCTGCATGATCTTTGAGTGTGTGCAAAGTACACTGAAAGTGTATAAAGTGCAAGGCATCTTATGATCAATATCAGAGAAGCACAACTGAGTGTGGAGGAGACAGGAATAATGTCCTACAATAGGACATGGAGTAACTTGGCCTTCTGAGCTGGACTTCAAAGAATGGGTAGAAAATTGAAACGCTAATGAGACCATTCCAAGTGGAGGAACCCGCCTCAGAAAGGGCACAAAAGGCATAGATCCTGTGTATCTGCTTACACAAAGTGAGGGTACAAAACAAAAACATTCACAATCTCCTAGCTATAGCCCTGGAACACAGTGGACTCCCAGAGGGAACATCCTAACAGCACACTTTCAGAACTATTATTTGTGTCTGTCTGAGTGATCTGACAGCAAACTATTTACAAACTTGCAAAGAACTATGATCAGATTCTTACTCCGTAAAGTGTCTAGAGAGAGAAAAAAATTTTAACCCCAGATGGCAGATAAGTTGAGCTAACAGCACCAGTGATAGTATGCCTAGCTATTAAAACACACACACACACACACACACACACACACACACACACGGGAGCTGGCAAGAGTCCAGTTACGTAGAAATGCAGTGGAAAAACTCAGTGTTTGCCAACTTAAAGAGGGGAACTAAATGTGTAAGATGGAAAATCTCCATTTTACCTTCCTGAGTGAATAGTACAACTAGTGGAATGTTATCAGTGCTTGATACCCTAATAAAACTTTAAAGTTGATCTTTCTGCTAATTTTGTGACCAGTACAGTCAGCCTAGGCTCTCAGGCTTCCACGGCAGTGATGCAATTTTTTAAATTATTATTGACAGCCATTATATTCATAGCATCATACCTCTTTCCCTTTCTAAGGTCAAACTGTACATCAGAGTCTAAAGTGCAAAATGTGAGATAGTTTACTCCATACAATGTCTCCACATATTTTTGGACTGGTAAAATTTTTCTTCTATTTTACAAAAACCCGACTGAGATGCATCGAATATTATACAAAGGTTTATTTGATATTTCTTGACATATTGCTAAGGTATAGGTACAAAAATTTACCAAAATAAAAATAAATTCATAATATATACAATATTCCACAGGTAGTCATTTTCATACTCCTTTACCACTTAGCATTCATACTGGCCACCTATATATGGTGTTGCAAAATTAATTACCTGATCATGATACTATCTTACTCAGAACTAACTTTTCTATAAGTACCTTCTAATGCCCCACATTTACATTTCTTCAAAAGCCTTTCATGGCCTAGCAACAGTGCTGGGCACTAGTAAGTATTTAACACGAATTCAATGAATGAATGAATGGTTTCTCTACTTTCAGAAATTGTGAATAGCACTAAGTATTGTCTTTATGTATATATGTAATCATTTCAATACTCCAAAAAGTCTAAATGCCTGTTAGTCTCTTTCTGTGCCCCCAGCTCTTCATTGTAAACGGAAGATTAAAATGTTACTTCCTATTTCTTGGGGAAGAAAAGTCATAGTCTCTATGCAATACTTAGAGTAGGGTGGGTGAGCCTCCCCCTCCTCTGCCCCATGATTCTTCCCTATCTGACACCCCACTACATCCTTCACGCCACAGCAAACCAGGTCATTTGCATCACACCTTGAAGTCTACCCAAAAGACAGAAAAATATGTACTAAGTTATGGGTGGGAAAGGAGGGAAATATGGAATGAAGGTGCAGAAAGGAAGATGAAATTTTTTTTTTTTAATGAGAGGAAATGAAGAAGGCAGGACAGCATTAGGACAGCA